GGGTCACCCTGTAGTGCTGCACAGCCAGTCAACATGCATATTCGCATGCATCTAGAGTCAGTCCTTGAGCTTTGGTTTTGTTATTTTTATTTAGGGGATTTGAACTGGGATAGCGTTAGGAGTGTATAGGATGTCAAACAGCAAAATAGAAAAATTCTCGGCTCAACTAGCCAACCAGCCTGCAAACAAACTGAATTAACCTGTCTAACAGTATGCATTAAAAAAGGGGTTTAGTTAGCACACATTTGCAAATTCATGCGTAAGCTACAGAGCCTCTTCACAGCACCCCGATATTCTGTAGTTCTTAACTCTACAAATTTTGAGAGCCCCCATAGTAGAGGAACATGTATTTAATGGATAGAGCAAGGGCAGGTGGACCTGAGGGAGCCCACCCCTCCTTAAAGGTACATGTACAGGAGTGCACTGGACACCCAGCAGGTAGCACCATGGCAGCTAAGGTGTCCTGTGCGCCCCCCTCACCAATAATTCAACAGTACAAAATATATGGCCGCTGCCCCAGTCTATAACTGGCCTTCACAGCAAGGAGCACATGGAAGGGTGTATAGGATTCCCAAGGGAACTGATGAACTGAGGACAACTTCCTGGAACTATTTACAAACCTTCACTGCAACACAGTCTGTTTTAGAGCTATCCAGCATCCCCTAATGTACCACCCCAGACCCTAGATGAACTCCTCTTCCTTCACTGAGCAATCTGGAGGTATCCATGAACAGGGGATCTGGTTCCTGTCACTTATAGAAATGGGACTTTCCCAGGTAGGTGGCAAATCCCACCAGAGTGCTCCTTCCCTTATCCGCCCATGAGGTGCAGGGGTACTCACTCAGATCCTCTCCTGTACCGCTAATGGATTGGTGGCTGCTATTAGGCCTTTTAGCTGGGCCACTCCTTCCCTGCTGCACAGGTGGTCCTCTCTCTGGTGACCAGTGAAGCTCTGAGCTTTCTTCCTTTCCAGCTCTGCTGCCTGTAGGTGAGCACCTCCCTCCATCTGGGCCCCCTTTGGGCTTTCAGCCTCACATCTTCCTCATTGTCTTCCACCCGAACATTCCTGCAACTGAGCAGGCTCACTTACTTTTAAGGTTTTTCCTAGGCCCTTGCCAAGACTCCTGTTGGGGATTGGCTAGGATCCCTGAAGATTACAAGCCAACCACTCCTCAGATAAACCCACTGCCTCTAGACCTTGCTCCAAAGCTCTAGAGTAGGGGGAAATGCTAGAGAGGCTAGCCTGCAGATTCTCTCCTGACTATTGACTCCTGACTATTACACCCAGACTGCTACTCAGCCCTTCTCTTTAACAATTAAAACTCCAGCTCTCCCTAGCTAACTAGGAGGGCGCTATCTATATAATAATATATATATATAATATATATATATATATATATACACATATACAGTCAGGTCCATAAATATTGGGACATCGACACAATTCTAACATTTTTGGCTCTATACACCACCACAGTGGATTTGAAATGAAATGAACAAGATGTGCTTTAACTGCAGACTGTCAGTTTTAATTTGAGGGTCAATTGGCTTCTCAGCTGTTCCATGGCTAGGTGTGTGTTATTCCCTCATTATCCCAATTACAATGAGCAGATAAAAGTTCCAGAGTTTATTTCAAGTGTGCTATTTGCATTTGGAATCTGTTGCTGTCAACTCTCAGATGAGATCCAAACAGCTGCCACTATCAGTGAAGCAAGCCATCATTAGGCTGAAAAAAACAAAACAAACCCATCAGAGAGATAGCAAAAAACATTAGGTGTGGCCAAAACAACTGTTTGGAACATTCTTAAAAGAGAGGAACGCATCGGTGAGCTCAGCAACACCAAAAGACCCGGAAGACCACGGAAAACAACTGTGGTGGATGACCGAAGAATTCTTTCCCTGGTGAAGAAGAAAACACCCTTCACAACAGTTGGCCAGATCAAGAACACTCTCCAGGAGGTAGGTGTATGTGTATCAAAGTCAACAATCAAGAGAAGACTTCACCAGTGTGAATACAGAGGGTTCACCACAAGATGTAAAACCATTGGTGAGCCTCAAAAACAGGAAGGCCAGATTAGAGTTTGCCAAACGACATCTAAAAAAGCCTTCACAGTTCTAGAACAACAATCCTATAGACAGATGAGACCAAGATCAACTTGTACCAGAGTGATGGGAAGAGAAGAGTATGGAGAAGGAAAGGAACTGCTCATGATCCTAAGCATACCACCTCATCAGTGAAGCATGGTGGTGGTAGTGTCATGGCGTGGGCATGTATGGCTGCCAATGGAACTGGTTCTCTTGTATTTATTGATGATGTGACTGCTGACAAAAGCAGCAGGATGAATTCTGAAATGTTTCGGGCAATAATATCTGCTCATATTCAGCCAAATGCTTCAGAACTCATTGGACGCCGCTTCACAGTGCAGATGGACAATGACCCAAAGCATACTGCAAAAGCAACCAAAGAGTTTTTTAAGGGAAAGAAGTGGAATGTTATGCAATGGCCAAGTCAATCACCTGACCTGAATCCGATTGAGCATGCATTTCACTTACTGAAGACAAAACTGAAGGGAAAATGCCCAAAGAACAAGCAGGAACTGAAGACAGTTGCAGTAGAGGCCTGGCAGAGCATCACCAGGGATGAAACCCAGCGTCTGGTGATGTGTCTATGAATTCCAGACTTCAGGCTGTAATTGACTGCAAAGGATTTGCAACCAAGTATTAAAAAGTGAAAGTTTGATTTATGATTATTATTCTGTCCCATTACTTTTGGTCCCTTAACAAGTGGGAGGCACATATGCAAACTGTTGTAATTCCTACACCGTTCACCTGATTTGGATGTAAATACCCTCAAATTAAAGCTGACAGTCTGCAGTTAGAGCACATCTTGTTCGTTTCATTTCAAATCCATTGTGGTGGTGTATAGAGCCAAAAATGTTTAGAATTGTGTTGATGTCCCAATATTTATGGACCTGACTGTACACATTCACACACACTGTGTGTGTGTGTATATATATATATATATATATTATATTTATATATATATATATATAATATACTGTTTTATTATTCACAATTCACAGAGAAAGAGTGTTTGAAAGATACATATTAAAAACAACCACACATATACACTTATTGTTACATGAATTTTTAAATCATATGAATTATACATGATACATTTTCTTTACCAGTCAGAGAACTGTGTCAATGCATTTAGTAGAGAAATCTACTTAATCAGAGCCAATGATGAAAGTAAGTACACAACATCCATAGTGTTTACAGTGGTGGTTTCACTTAACCACTTGCCCTCCAGAGGATTTACCACCCTTCCTGACCAGGCCATTTTTACATTATGGTGTTGCATTACCATAAATTGCGCGGCGGTCATGCAATGCTCCACCCAAATGAAGTTTATGTCCTTTTTTTACAACAAATACAGATTTCTTTTGGTAGTATTTGACCGCCTGTGCTTTTTTTATTGTTTACACTATAAAAAAAAGACTGACAATTTTGAGAAAAAAACTATATTTTCGACTTTTTGCTATTAAACGTGTCCAGTAAAAATTTTTTTAAAAATCACATTTCATCATAAATTTAGGCCAAAATGTATTCTGCTACAATGTCTTTGCTAAGCAAAATCCCAATACGTGTAAATTAATTGGTTTACGTGTAAGTTATAGCATTTACAAATGATGGTATATATACTGGAATTTTCTTTTTTTTTACTAGTAATCGGCGGCAATCAGTGACTTATAGTGGGACTGCGGGGCTGCAACAGGCATTTTGACACTGGGGGGAACTGACTTGGTGTCATTGACATCCCCAGTGACACCAATACAGTGATCAGTGCTAATAAAAAAAAGCACTGACACTGTATTAATGGCACTGGACAGGAAGGGGTTAATGTGGGGCAATCAAAGGGTTAATTGTGTGCTGTTTTACCGTGTGCTGTGTGTGTGTCTGCTTCACTGTAAGTTCTGCAAAAGCCATGCATAGCAGTGTGCAGGAGCTGACGGGAGAGAACTGTATTGTTTACTTACAGTTCTCTCCCTCCATTGGTAAATGCTCCTCAATCCGAGTGTCGGCGAGTAATCAAGACCACGAATAGTGGTGTGGGTAGGGCATGGGAAGAGGTTAACCACTTGACCTCCAGAGGATTTACCCCCCTTAATGACCAGGCCTCTTTTTTGCTACTCGGCGCTGCACTAATTCAACTGATAATTGCGCGGTCATGCAATGCTGCACCCAAACGAATTTTTTTTCACACAAATAGAGCTTTCTTTCGGTGATATTTGATCACCTGTGCGCTTTTTATTTTTCACGCTATAAACAAAAAAAAAAAATTTTGAAGAAAAACGATATTTTTTACTTTCAGCTATAAAAAATATATAGTAAAACTCAAAGTTGGTTATAAATTTAGGCCAAAATGTATTCTGCTCCATGTTTTTGGTAAAAAAAATCCCAATAAGTGTATATTGATTGCTTTGTGTGAAAGTTATAGCATCTACAAACTATGGTATAGATCAGTGATGGCGAACCCGTGGCACGCCGAGCCTTATCTGTGGGCACGCCAGGAGAATCCAGCGGCGCGCTGTCTTCCCGGCTGTAGTGTGCGTGACAGCCAGGTCCCAAGTGCGCATGCACAAGAAGCAGTGCTCTTTGTGAATGGTAAGGCGGTACCTGGGACACATGACAGATCCCAGAAGCCGCCGGACCAATCACAAAGCGCAGCGCTTCTCGCGCATGCGCACTGGGGCATCCGGCTGTCCGACGAGCGCCCCCACCAGAAACAGAAGCCGGGGAAGAATAAAGGAACAGGTAAGATAAAAAAAAAAACTCTGCGGAAGTAAGAGCAGGTACCTGTCAAATTCAGGTACCCGCTCCCCCTCCCTCCCCAAAGGTCAGCAGTCATCCCTGTGCTGTCCGCAGTCTCTGGTCATCCCTGTACTGTCCGCAGTCTCTGGTCATCCCTGTACTGTGTCCGCAGTCTCTGGTCATCCCTGTACTGTCCGCAGTCTCTGGTCATCCCTGTACTGTGTCCGCAGTCTCTGGTCATCCCTGTACTGTCCGCGCAGTCTCTGGTCATCCCTGTACTGTCCGCAGTCACTGGTCATCCCTGTACTATGTCCGCAGTCTCTGGTCATCCCTGTACTGTCTGCAGTCTCTGTCATCTCCTGTACTGTCCGCAGTCTCTGGTCATCCCTGTACTGTCCGCAGTCTCTGGTCATCCCTGTACTATGTCCGCAGTCTCTGGTCATCCCTGTACTGTCCGCAGTCTCTGGTCATCTCCTGTACTACTGTCCGCAGTCTCTGGTCATCCCTGTACTGTCCGCAGTCTCTGGTCATCCCTGTACTGTGTCCGCAGTCTCTGGTCATCCCTGTACTGTCCGCAGTCTCTGGTCATCCCTGTACTGTCCGCAGTCTCTGGTCATCTCCTGTACTGTCCGCAGTCTCTGGTCATCTCCTGTACTGTCGCAGTCTCTGGTCATCTCCCTGTACTGTGTCCGCAGTCTCTGGTCATCTCCTGTACTGTGTCCGCAGTCTCTGGTCATCTCCTGTACTGTCCGCAGTCTCTGGTCATCTCCTGTACTGTCCGCAGTCTCTGGTCATGTGTCCTGTACTTGTCCGCAGTCTCTGGTCATCCCTGTACTGTGTCCGCAGTCTCTGGTCATCCCTGTACTGTGTCCGCAGTCTCTGGTCATCTCCTGTACTGTGTCCGCAGTCTCTGGTCATCTCCTGTACTGTTCCGCAGTCTCTGGTCATCCTGTACTGTGTCCGCAGTCTCTGGTCATCTCCTGTACTGTGTCCGCAGTCTCTGGTCATCTCCTGTACTGTCCGCAGCAGTCTCTGGTCATCTCCCTGTACTGTGTCCGCAGTCTCTGGTCATCTCCTGTACTGTTCCGCAGTCTCTGGTCATCTCCTGTACTGTCCGCAGTCTCTGGTCATCTCCCTGTACTGTGTCCGCAGTCTCTGGTCATCTCCTGTACTGTGTCCGCAGTCTCTGGTCATCTCCTGTACTGTCCGCAGTCTCTGGTCATCTCCTGTACTGTCCGCAGTCTCTGGTCATCTCCTGTACTGTGTCCGCAGTCTCTGGTCATCCCTGTACTGTGTCCGCAGTCTCTGGTCATCTCCCTGTACTGTGTCCGCAGTCTCTGGTCATCCCTGTACTGTCCGCAGTCTCTGGTCATCCCTGTACTGTGTCCGCAGTCTCTGGTCATCCCTGTACTGTCCGCAGTCTCTGGTCATCTCCTGTACTGTGTCCGCAGTCTCTGGTCATCTCCTGTACTGTTCGCAGTCTCTGGTCATCTCCTGTACTGTGTCCGCAGTCTCTGGTCATCTCCTGTACTGTGTCCGCAGTCTCTGGTCATCTCCTGTACTGTGTCCGCAGTCTCTCTGGTCATCCCTGTACTGTGTCCGCAGTCTCTGGTCATCCCTGTACTGTGTCCGCAGTCTCTGGTCATCTCCTGTACTGTGTCCGCAGTCTCTGGTCATCCCTGTACTGTGTCCGCAGTCTCTCTGGTCATCCCTGTACTGTGTCTGCAGTCTCTGGTCATCCCTGTACTGTGTCCGCAGTCTCTGGTCATCCTGTACTGTGTCCGCAGTCTCTGGTCATCTCCTGTACTGTGTCCGCAGTCTCTGGTCATCCCTGTACTGTCCGCAGTCTCTGGTCATCCCTGTACTGTGTGTCCGCAGTCTCTGGTCATCTCCTGTACTGTGTCCGCAGTCTCTGGTCATCCCTGTACTGTCCGCAGTCTCTGGTCATCCCTGTACTGTGTCCGCAGTCTCTGGTCATCTCCTGTACTGTCGCAGCAGTCTCTGGTCATCTCCTGTACTGTGTCCGCAGTCTCTGGTCATCCCTGTACTGTCCGCAGTCTCTGGTCATCCCTGTACTGTGTCCGCAGTCTCTGGTCATCTCCTGTACTGTGTCCGCAGTCTCTGGTCATCCCTGTACTGTCCGCAGTCTCTGGTCATCCCTGTACTGTGTCCGCAGTCTCTGGTCATCCCTGTACTGTCCGCAGTCTCTGGTCATCTCCTGTACTGTGTCCGCAGTCTCTGGTCATCTCCTGTACTGTCCGCAGTCTCTGGTCATCTCCTGTACTGTGTCCGCAGTCTCTGGTCATCTCCTGTACTGTGTCCGCAGTCTCTGGTCATCTCCTGTACTGTCCGCAGTCTCTGGTCATCTCCTGTACTGTCCGCAGTCTCTGGTCATCTCCTGTACTGTGTCCGCAGTCTCTGGTCATCCCTGTACTGTGTCCGCAGTCTCTGGTCATCCCTGTACTGTTCCGCAGTCTCTGGTCATCTCCTGTACTGTGTCCGCAGTCTCTGGTCATCTTCTGTACTGTTCGCAGTCTCTGGTCATCTCCTGTACTGTCCGCAGTCTCTGGTCATCCCTGTACTGTCCGCAGTCTGGTCATCCCTGTACTGTGTCCGCAGTCTCTGGTCATCTCCTGTACTGTGTCCGCAGTCTCTGGTCATCCCCTGTACTGTGTCCGCAGTCTCTGGTCATCCCTGTACTGTGTCCGCAGTCTCTGGTCATCCCTGTACTGTGTCGCAGCAGTCTCTGGTCATCTCATCTCCTGTACTGTGTCCGCAGTCTCTGGTCATCCCTGTACTGTGTCCGCAGTCTCTGGTCATCTCCTGTACTGTCCGCAGTCTCTGGTCATCTCCTGTACTGTCCGCAGTCTCTGGTCATCTCCTGTACTTGTCCGCAGTCTCTGGTCATCCCTGTACTGTCCGCAGTCACTGGTCATCCCTGTACTGTCCGCAGTCTCTGGTCATCTCCTGTACTATGTCCGCAGTCTCTGGTCATCCTGTACTGTCCGCAGTCTCTGGTCATCTCCTGTACTTTCCGCAGTCTCTGGTCATCTCCTGTACTGTCCGCAGTCTCTGGTCATCCCTGTACTGTGTCCGCAGTCTCTGGTCATCTCCTGTACTGTGTCCGCAGTCTCTGGTCATCCCTGTACTGTGTCCGCAGTCTCTGGTCATCCCTGTACTGTGTCCGCAGTCTCTGGTCATCCCTGTACTGTGTCCGCAGTCTCTGGTCATCTCCTGTACTGTGTCCGCAGTCTCTGGTCATCTCCTGTACTGTGTCCGCAGTCTCTGGTCATCTCCTGTACTGTGTCCGCAGTCTCTGGTCATCTGTCTCCTGTACTGTGTCCGCAGTCTCTGGTCATCTCCTGTACTGTGTCCGCAGTCTCTGGTCATCTCCTGTACTGTCCGCAGTCTCTGGTCATCTCCTGTACTGTCCGCAGTCTCTGGTCATCCCTGTACTGTGTCCGCAGTCTCTGGTCATCCCCTGTACTGTGTCCGCAGTCTCTGGGTCATCTCCTGTACTGTGTCCGCAGTCTCTGGTCATCCCTGTACTGTGTCCGCAGTCTCTGGTCATCCCTGTACTGTGTCCGCAGTCTCTGGTCATCCCTGTACTGTGTCCGCAGTCTCTGGTCATCCCTGTACTGTCCGCAGTCTCTGGTCATCCCTGTACTGTCCGCAGTCTCTGGTCATCCCTGTACTGTGTCCGCAGTCTCTGGTCATCCCTGTACTGTGTCCGCAGTCTCTGGTCATCCCTGTACTGTGTCCGCAGTCTCTGGTCATCCCTGTACTGTTAATTAGTTTGCACTACTGTACGAGTTGTTTTTTTCTAAACCAAAAGCTCGATATTCAGGTTTCATTGCAGTGTTGGCACTTTGAAAGAAATAAGTTGGTTTTGGGTTGCAGTTTGGGCACTCGGGCTCAAAAAGGTTCGCCATCACTGGTATAGATACTGCAATTTACGCCATTTTTTTGCTATACAGCGCTGCGCTAGTTTTAACGGACAATTGCGCAGTCATGCAAAACAGTACATAAATGAAATTTACATCCTTTTTTTCCCACAAATTGAGCTTTCTTTTGGTGGTATTTGATCGCCTGTGCAGTTTTTATTTTTTGCGCTATAAAAAAAAAGGCTGACAATTTTTGAGGAAAAAAAACAATATTTTGGACTTTTTGCTATAAAACATGTCCAGTAAAAAAAAAAATTTAAAAATCAAATTTAGTCATAAATTTCTGACAAAATGTATTCTGTGACATGTCTTTGCTAAAAAAAAAAAAAAACAATACGTGTAAATTAATTGGTTTACATGAAAGCTATAGCGTTTACAAATGGCGGGAAAGATACTGGGATTTTTAGGGTTTTTTTTATACTAATAATGGCGGCGATCAGCGACTTATGGCGGCGATCAGTGACTTATATGCGGCGATCAGCGACTTATGGCGGGACTGCGGCAGACATTCTGACATTGGGGGGTACTGACTTGGGGTCACTGGGCATCCCCAGTGACACCAATACAGTGATCAGTGCAAAAAAAAAAAAAACACTGACACTGTACTAATAGCACTGGGGAGGAATGGGTTAAGTTTATTATTCAGGGAAAGGGTTAACTGTGTGAGGGGAGTGTTTTACTAGGGGGCGGGGGTGTGTACTGCAGGGAACACCGCTGATCGGGAGAGAGAAACTCTTCTGTTCCAATCAGCGTGTCCTGGAGCTGTCAGTGAACTGACGGAAAGCACAGCTACTGCAGCTGTGCTCTCTGTCAGCGATTGCCGCCGATCGCCGGGACATAGCTGGTAACAACCGGCTGTGACCCGGCGACTGACATCCGCGGCTGTGATCGGCGGGACAGGTAGGGGGGCACACGCGAGTCAAAGGGACCAGGACGACTGATCCATGTACAGGACAGAATGAATGGGGCCATGTATCGTGAGATTTTGAGTGCAAACCTCCTTCCATCAGCAAGGGCATTGAAGATGAAACGTGGCTGGGTCTTCCAACATGACAATGATCCCAAACATACTGCCCGGGCAACAAAGGAGTGGCTTTGTAAGAAGCATTTCAAGGTCCTGGAGTGGCCTAGCCAGTCTCCAGATCTCAACCCCATAGAAAACCTTTGGAGGGAGTTGAAAGTCTGTGTTGCCCAGCGACAGCCCCAAAACATCACTGCTCTAGAGGAGATCTGCATGGAGGAATGGGCCAACATACCAGTAACAGTGTGTGCCAACCTTGTGAAGACTTACAGGAAACGTTTGACCTCTGTCATTGTCAAAAAAGGATACTGTATATAACAAAGTATTGAGATGAACTTTTGATATTGACCAAATACTTATTTTCCACCATAATTTGCAAATACATTCTTTCCAAATCAGCCAATGTGATTGTCTGGATTTTTTTTTTTCATTTTGTCTCTCATAGTTGAGGTCTACCTATGATGCCAATCACAGGCCTCTCTCATCTTTTTAAGTGGGAGAACTTGCACAACTGGTGGCTGACTAAATACTTTTTTGCCCCACTGTATATGTCTCATCATAGCTATTATTATTATTATCATAATGCATTTATGACATATTCAATAGTGCTGCATAGAGAACACATATTATACTCTGCACCAAAGGAGCTTACACCCCCACCAATAGAGCATTTATAATAAGGCAGC